AAAGAGAGGAGCGAACTGGGGGGGAGGGGCTGGACGGGGAGAGAAGTGCAGCAATGAATGAATGGAAATCCAAAATCTCTGTAAATGCTCATTAAAATTATTTTTAAAAAAATAAAGCTTAAGAAGAAAGAAAGAAAAAAAATATGACTCTTAGTGACCCTGTGAGCAGCAGTTCTGAACCCTGTCCTATCCTTCGCCATCCTCACCATCTCTGATGTACTTGAGCCCATTGTTACAGTCACTGTATCAGGCCAACCAGTCCAAGGTCTTCCTATCTTTTGCTGAGCCTTCACCTTTCCAAGCATGATGTCCCTTTCCATGAAATAGCCCTTCCTAACAATATGCCCAAAGTATGTGAGAGGAAGCTTCGCCATTCTTGCCTCCAAGGAGCACTCTGGCTTTACTTTGCTTGTTTGTAATACTAATGATATTTTTTTATAATTTCTACATTCTATTGGATCACCTTTCTTGGGATTGAAAGCAAATATGGATCTTTCTCACTCAGTTCGTCCAGTACCTGCTGTCCAAATTTCCTCGCATAGACTAATGATCGCGTCCAGAGCTGCATCTGTTAGGTGAAACATGTTAATTGCTATCTCATCAATTCCTAGAGCCTTACTTTTTGCCAGTGCCTTCAGTGCAGCTTGAGCTTCTTCCTTCATTTCTGTGAATACTTCCTGAAATTTTTCTGTGCTGGTCAATTATTTTTAGTAACCTAACTGTGTGTATTCCCGCCATCTTCTTTAGATGCTTCCTGGATCCTTCAAGATTTTACCCATTGTGTCTCTCAGTCTTGCAACTCGAAGTTTAAAGGTGTTTTTCCATTTCTTTTAGCTTGAGGAATGCCAAATGAGTTCTTTCCTTTTTATTCTGGTTCTAGTTCGTTGAACATTCTATTATAATATTTTACTTTTGTCTTCTCTAGTTTTTAAATCATCTCATTACCTCTTTCCCCTCTGCATCTCTTCCCTTTATGTTGGCTTATCCACACTCTAGTGCTGTTTTCAGAGCCTCCTCTGACATCCATTTTGGTCTTTTATTTCTCCTTTGTCTGTGTTGCCATCCCATGACTCATATGGTCTTTGATAATGAATGTTCAGCGTCTCAAACCTATTTTTGAGATGATTTTTAAATTCAGATGGGATAGAATCAAGATCACATTTTGGTTTTATGGCCTTGTTTTAATATCCTACAACTTCCTTTTGAACTTGCTGGTTCCACAGTCAGTGCCTGTCCTGGTTTTGACTGCTGAAACTGAGCTTCACCAATGATTCCTGCCACAAATGTAGTCACTGTGATTCCTGTGCAGTCCATCAGTGAGGTCCATGTGTACAGTCACCATTTGTGTTTCTTAAAAAAGATATTTGTGCTCTTTTCTGGTTACTGTGGCGCTAGGAGCCATAAGCAGCAAAGTCTCTTGTGACACCCTCTACAAGGCGGT